AGGGTGTCTGGGAGGCCAGAGATTCCATTTGATGGATCATCTGCTGAAAATTTGCAAATTAAGGGCAACCCCAATGGAGGGAGTGAGGAGGCTCAGACTTGGCTCTGCTGCCCTGCTGGGGTCACTGTTGCTGATTTCTCACGATTCACAATCCTCCCCCCAATTCCAGCACACAGCACTCTAAAGACCCAGCCTCGAGCCTGCCATTCCTCCAGTTCCATGAAATGCAGTGCCCCTCAGCAAACCCATGCACTCTGTGTACCTCCCTTCCCTCGCCCAAGAAACAAAAAGGCTGAAGGAGAGGAAGAGATTCATAAACATTATCCAAATCCTGAGAAAGAAGGCCTGACCTCCCAGGCGCCTCCAAGGGCGTCTCAACCCCTGTGAGTGCGGCTACACCGGTCTTGCCACTTGGGATTTATTTCTTTGTAGAAAACAGATAAAGAGCTTGCAATTTTTGTAGAGATGCAAATGCCATCCATCGRGTAGGAAAGAGAGTGTCAAAAACTGCTAATTCTTGAAATGGAAGAAAAACGGCAGAAAAAGTGGCCAAATCGAAGCTGCCAGGTGTGTGCAGGACGGGGCTGAGGATGGGGTGGAGGACGGGGCCTTTAACCACAGAGGTGTGTTGTTTGGGTAAAACCTTTAAAAGAGCCTAAGCAGCAAACATTCATGTTTATTGACATGAATTATTGACTGTAGTCACTGTGTTCAGTGGGGGACAGTGTCTTCTGCCCCATGCCCTGTCGTTCCTGAGGCACCAGGCAGTGTCTTTGGGTCCAGCTTCATGAAATGACCATTAAAAAATAAAAAAAAAATAAAAAGCCGCCCCTGTGCTTCAGCACGATGTGACAGTTCTAATCACCGGAGCACTGTTCATTCCTCCCAGAGTCCGAAMGCCCTTCTCCTGGTGTGTTCATCCTTCTGTAAGGTTCCCCATGGCTAAAGGTCCAAAGAATCCCGTTTTTCAGTGAAAGTTAGCCTGGCTCTCCTGCTGCTCAATGCAAGAACGTCTGCTATGGCAAGTGGGTGAAAATCAGGCGTGGAGCAGGCCAATCACCTGAAAATGAGGGTGTCACTCCTCDCAGGGCCTCCCATGGTCTCACACAGCGTGACACCACGCACCACTTCTCAGGTGACACGCTGGGTAGCTTCTGCTAGAGAGGAGCCTTCAGCCCCAGCTGCCTGCTCTGAGTCACAGACTGCTCTTCAGTGGCCACGAGGTCAGCGCTTCTTCCTCCATAAAATGAGCTGATGACAGCAGCTAGATCACCTCTTGCGCTGGCACGGAGCAGCCCTGAGGTGACACAAAGTCCTGCTGGGAGCTCAAAACATGAAAGACAAAGGCCTCTGAGCAAGCGGCCACCTCCACGCTGAGTTCAAGCCTTTAAATTCAAATAGAAGTTAGTGTTGTTGGTKGTCCCCAGGTCGGAAGTGAGGAAGATGGGCTGGCCAACCTGGGAGGAGGCGATGAGCCAGCCTGGGAAGGCCACGGACTCGAAGCTGGAGGTATTCCCATCCCGGGAGTGGTAAAAAAGGAAGGGTCTCACGGGCTCCACCTGGTTGTACAGATCCAAGATATTCTGCTCCTGAAAGGTGGGGCAGAACAGCCAAGAAGAGAAAAGGAAGTTGCTTGAAATGTTCCAAGTAACCAATAAACATTCCAAAGTTCAAGAAAGCCTTCCCCACCTGTGAGCAGGACTCGAAAGGTAAGTTTCCAAGAGCAGCAGAGTCTGCAGGTGGAATCTCACCTTCCCAACCCCACCCTCAAGTCCAGAGCAAGGAAACAAGGGTCAGGTCCACGAACCAGTGGCCGCCCTTGGATGATGAGTTGGAGCTCTTCTTGCACAAGAGACTGAGGGACAAAGATGCAAATTTGCAAAGTTGGCTAATGACCTCATTTACCAAAGCCCAATGGTGAGAGCA